ACAACTATATGCTTCTGTGCCTCTGCCAAATATTCACAACGGTGATCATATGTTAGGGAAATCCCGAGGTTTTGGCAACCCCCCCGGCCTGACAGACTCCGAGGGTGTCGGCGCGGGCCGCGTTCCCTGTCACAGATCTTATCGAGGTTTGCAGGCAAATTTTCAGAAGTTGTTGCACTTGGTGTTAAGATGCCTTTTTTTTCTGCCTGCGGGCGGTCTGTGTTCTGCGTTACTTCACCGCTGTTTGCTGAATATTGCCCGGCAGCGCTTGCTCTTGCAGCCAATTTTGTGCAAGGAGTGACAGACGGAACCCCTACATCCTAAACTCCAAACCTTTAACCCAAAGCTTGCAGCTTTAATTCTAAACATTCCACCTTGAAACCTGAACTTGCAACCCAGATCTTCAAGCCTCAACCCTTTGAACTTTCAGCCCCAAACCCTAAACTCCCTGGGATGGCCTACACCCAGCTACAGCTCAGGCCCCGGCTTCCGATCGAAACGCCTGGCTCCTCGGACACCCAGCATTAAGAGCTAGGTGGATATTGAAAGGGAACTCATCCACCAAAGGCTCTTGCCTATTTCCTGGTGTCTAGGATTCATGGTCTTCGGAACACGGTGCGAGGATGACCCTGACCCCTGAGGTTCGGAGGTGAGGTACTGCTACAGCGGGTGCGGCCAAGAACAAGCATGGTTTTTGTAACGGGCGATGACAACACTTGTTGCCAAAGGAGACAAAAGTAGTTCAACGCAGCAAAACAAGCATCGCAAGCAGAATCATACGACAGCCCAGTGCTGACATACAACAAGAACCCTAACACCATGTCACACCCTCTTCAGTGGTCGCATTCATGCTGTGATGGCATTCATCTTCCATGCTTATTACACTTATGGTTGATTCCTTCAATCCGTTTTACTATTGTCCTTCATTATTCCTATTGTTGTTACAGAAATAACTATATATTGCTTTTAGTCCTATTATTGTTACCCCTCACGGCTGTTTCTGGCAGGCCGCAGCTCAGGGAAGGCGCCGAAGTCGTCGGACGACGCGGCTTCGAGGGCACGACGCTTCGAGCCCTGTGCAGGGTCAGACGGCCATAGTCAGATGGAATATGGGGTATATGGGGATCTGTTTATAGTACACCCCAAGCCATATTCTATCTGCTTAAGGGGGACTATAGGTATAAGGGGCAATTGAAGAAGGGGAAAAAGTGGGCAACTGAGTAGAGGAGGAGGAATCATGCTAACAAAGGTTTTAAACAACCGCAATACTCAGAATTTCTGATGCCTGTGAGCTGAACTGGCAATTGTCTCTTGTTCTCAGAACCTGGAATGCAGCCAACGCGGGATTGCTTTATGCATGAACCAACGGCAACATGATTCACAAGATGGTGTAGGCTTTGCAATATGGCATGGTAGGTGGATCTGCAAATTCATTTTGCTGTTCACGAAGGCGTGGCAGTGCTGTCGAACTGTCATCAGGCACATTCTCTCCTGGACAGGCTAGGAAAGCAAGGACAGGTACTAAAGCCAACTTCATGTGCTCCGCAGGCGTCGTCGGCAGCAAACTGCCTTGCGGACTGCTTCGCGCAGTGCCATGAAGCGCGTTGGCATCCCATCGTCAGCGGTTGGGGCTGCCCCCAATTCTGTATGTCCAGTGCCGTTTGCGGTTGGATTGCTTGATGGGCCGGGGAAGTTTGCATACAGCTTCTGCCAGCTTGAGCTGGGCAAAGTTCGGAAGTCGCCTGATGCGGCATGCTGTGGTGCCGGTGGCAAGTGAAGGGACGCCAACAGTTTGATTGCCAACATGTGCTGGCCTGGCACTGCGAGCACAACGAATCCCAAGCCCATACCGGACAGGAAAGGGCCTCCTTGCAGAGGGCTTTGCCCTGAGCGGCCAGCACTGGGATGCATGGTGCAAACCTTTGGAAGATTGGGGGTCTCGGTCCCCGCTGCACCTGGCAGCATGCAAAGATCAGCTTGTAGGCTCTTTGCAGGAAAGGCAGCGTGGATCTTCGCCCATGCATGGCATGGAAGGCTGCGAAAGTCATTGGCTCCATCTCTATGGCTAGGACTGGAGGTTTGGAGGCAGCTGTGTTTCGCAGGGCCTTGCGGCATGTCGGTCAGGTTCAGCGGCTTAGGACGCAACACGGCTCCTGGGCACTGGCGGTCTGGCTCAGCAAGCACCATGAATGCCAGTCCAAGCCCCTGCATCGGATGAAGAGCTTCCAGGCTCTTTGCAGGAAAGGCAGCATGGATCTTGGCCCATGCATGGCCTGGAAGGCTGCGAAAGTCATTGGTTCCATCTCTATGGCTAGGACTGGAGGTTTGGAAGCAGCTGTGTTCCTTTGCTTCTGGCAGGCCACCAGAAATTGGAACATCTGGCATGGCTGCTGCAGCCTCAGTGGGGGCCTGGCACAGCCGCATGAGCACGTCATCGACGACGCTCTGGAGGGCCGGCTTCTCGCCTGGCTGAAGCTTCTGGCAGTCCTCTTGCCGGAGAACTGGGCCCGCTCGTTTTTCCAGCACCACCCAACCTCTCAGCGGCTGCTGAATGAGTGCCCGCTTCCCCAGAACGGCATCCACGAAAACGGTGTTGCCTTCCGTCAATGTGCTGAGAATCTCCGAGTTGCCGTTGTTGTCCCGTCTGACCTTGGCAGCTCGCTGCACCGTTGCCCATCCTCGCTGCACCAGCGGGAGCGGAGCTGGGTTGCATGGAGCCTGTTGCCGCTTGGCACGCCCCTCGGCTTGAAGAGCCTGTCGGGCGAAAGACTCCAAGATAACAACACATGCTGGAGAATGCCGGGGCAGGTTTGGGAGTTGAAGATATGTTGACTGTTGACATGCTTTGATCCATCCGGCCTCCAGCCGGAACTTCTGCTCCCATTGGAGCTTGCCACCCAGGGTTTTGCGGCCCAGTAGCCGCGTGTCAGCCTCTCCATCTCGGCAGAGGCTGTCCATGGCAAGGGGAGCTAACGCTCGAGGCCACTGAAGTCAGACAAATGTTTTCCTGTCATGCAATGCGTAGAACTTGCATGGATCAATGTGAGAGATCCTTTGAGCCACAAGCCAGTGGCAACAACAGACATGGCTGCTCAGCAAATTCGACTGGACTCTCGTACTCCATCAAATGTGTTTGATGCTTTCTGCTCCAGGCAGGCGTATTGCCATTTTGATGTTGTATGTATATCATGAAGTCACAACTGTCGCCCAGTATGGCAGAATCGCAATAACTGTTGGGTCGGGAAAACCTGCTCAGCTCCAACATAATACATGAGCAACACTCACAAAAAAACACACTTGTAGTAGCGGAACGGGTTCTTGGCAAGCTCTTGCCTGTTTCTGCACCTTGCGTGCGGAAGACGTCGCCGTCGCCGAAGTGGCAGGCGTGCCTGTTGCCGCAGCTGCCGGCATTGGTGCTCCCGCTCCGGCAGCAGCTCCTGCAACATGCAACCAGCATTAATATAGAGCGAATACAAAAGAAAATGGAACATGTGGCAATGGCTGTTCACTACCTTTCTGCAAGTTGCCACACGGATCTCCTATTGCTACTGAGAAAACGTCGCTATTACAAGTACTATTAAGTTATGATCATTCCTCCTGCTCCAAGTCTTACCCCTGCTCTCTATTTCCGAAAACCGCTGTCCACGTCATACCTCTGCTCATCTCCCTATATACCCACTGATCTATTTCTCCACTTCTCGTCCCCGAGACATCCAAAGCCCTCCAGCAAAGCGCTCCTGTGTCTGCAGACTCCCGTGTGGACACCATGAACACTGCTGAGAAATCCTGGCAAGGTACTGAGTAGGGCTTAGGGCCAGGGTCCTAAATATCTCGAATAAGGTGTTGGGGCGTACTTAGAGAGGGATTGTTAGGGAAGACTATAGGTCCTTGTTCGGGCTGCTACATTGAGGATTACAGCTGTCAGTATGGTTGCAAGAACCTGAGACGAAGCAATGACCCTCAAAACGAAGCAAGAGGAGGAATGATGAGTAGTTGTGAGTCATGCCTACGCATGTTGCTTCAACACTTTTCCCACTGCCGCCTCCAGGGTATGGGACTTCGGGGGCAAGGGTGTTTTTGTTTAACGCCCTTATCGACCTCCCAACCCGCAGTCGGACGAAGGCCCCTTGGACCAAGCGGAAACTGTTTGAGGTTTGGGGAGAAACTTACTATAGTAGTTTCCATTTTTTCCATTATCCCTATAACCCCAATATACAATAGTAGTTTCCATTTTCTTTTCCATTATCCCGGGGAGTTTAGGGCTTGGGATGAGGGTCTGGATAAAGGCCTGCAGAGGTCGCGCAGCGCCATCGGCGCCTGCAGCCATGCAGCACCTGTTCAAACCCCCCAATGCATACCATGCCATCGCGTGATACTGTTCAGGGCTGGGGGCTAATGGCCTGAACTAAAGATCATCCTCATCATGCCGATTTGCTGAACAATACCCTTGATGGAAATACTGCTGATGATGCTGGTTCAACCCAGAACTGCAAGGTTCCCAAGTCCCTTTTGCATGATCCTAACCCCCATCACCCAAAACTATTTAATCTTTTAGGGCGGGGTGTATTTCTCGTCGGGGGAAGTGATAAACTCTCTGAGCTTCAAACCCCACACCCCAAGCCCTAATCCCTATACCCCACTCCCCTCAACCCTAACACTCAACCCCAAACCCCGAAACCCAAAACCCTGAACCCTGAACCCAAAACCCCCTTAACCCTAAACCCGAAACCCTAACCCCCAAAACAAGAAACCTTGGGATCCCTATGTCGAAGCCAAGGCACAGAACTGAGCCGCCACGCTCACCGAATCGGAGCTCGAGCAGGGCAGACCTAAGCGGGGTTCCGTGTGCAGTTAGGGTTTAGGTTCTTTTTTCGGGTTTCGGGCTTAGAGTTTAGGGTTTAGGGTTTAGGGTTTAGATCGTCAACGCTGCTCTAACGCGAAAGTGTCTGTCTCTCACCCGCAAACAGATCCATTGTTCATGTCTGGGAAGTCCGCCCATCCAGCAAGCCCATGTGGTCCAGGTCTTTGGCAATGACCTCAGCTTACTCATAACCAGAAAGCTGCTGCGGCACTCTCTCCTCAAACGCGGCCCTTTAGGCTCCTAGAGCATCAGAGGATTTCTTACCTACACCATCTACACTTCACGGTTTTTGGTAGTTTCCCAAAATGAGGGGACCCAATAGTCCTTATTATAGGGACCCCAAAAAAGTACCCCTAATTTTTGGCACCAGCCACCAAAAAAAA